CTCAGCCTCAAGCCTCTTGGCCTCTTCAATCTTGGCCGACAGATCAAACACCCGGGCATGAATCTCCTCGAATGTCCCCTCCAGGACATCCACTTTACATACTCGACCTTTGTTATTAAGCAGGCCTCAGCTATTTCCATATCGGTCTTGTATTGGGCAAGCATTTACTTGACCTCGAAAGAATCAATCGAGGCTGCCTCGAATTTGGACTTCAGTGCAGTATATTCCCGGCCAAGGTCATCCCGTTCTGAGACGGCTGAATCTAGTTATGCTCGAAGCTCGTCATTTGGCCGAGACCACTTGTCGGCCTTATCCTTCGCCACCCAGAGTTGGTCTTTGACCAACACCAACTCCTCTTTTGTAGCCTCCTCTTTTGGTCCATCATGCTCCTCAGCGTCTCGGTCGAAGTTTTGAGCTCGTTCATCTTTGCTCGTAGCTGGTCAATTAGGTTTATCTTCTCCTGGTTTCTGCGAGGTTGCGTAGTTAGTCATTACGCATAACCTCTCATTTTTAATCTAAAAAAACCTTACCTTCTCTACCAGTTCGGCATGATCCCATTTCACGGACAAAGCCTCATTTTGAGCTTTTTCCATCTCAACTCAAAGAACAGGGAGATCCTTGAGGGCCTCGTCTTTTTGCTCACTGAGACCCCTATACATGTCCTTCTGTCGGACCTACTCTTTGATCTCAAATTCGAGCTGGATGCCTTCCATTCGAGACCAATGGAAGCTCTCATGATGGAGCACCAACGCGTGAAAAATAAATCAGTAAAATCATGAGAACACGCTGAAGTTCTATAGGATGCACGAAGGGCAAAAGGAAAGGGAAACTTACTCGATTCATTGCATATTGTGCCTCGTTGAAGAGGCTCGATGTGCCCACTTCGCTCATCTTCGCCTGGTCCTCTTCGGTCACCAGGAAATGAAAATAGCTCCCCACGCCCACCAGAGCAGACAATACCCTGGTGTCCGCGGGGACGGTAACATGACTGTTCTTTTACAGTCGGGATCCACGCTAGGTGCAGGGAACTGCCTCACCAGCTTCGGCTCGAGCTCGACTCGCTTGCTCTTGATGACACATCCTTTTTCGGGATCTCCAGGTGACCAAACCTAGAATAATCCTCAATGCGCCCATGTCCACACCGTCAAAGAACATGTTGAGGGCCTCGTCTGCGGTCTGTTCCATCTCATTTGTCTTCTCTTTGACGGCTTGAGCCTCGTCGAATAAAGAATTTGTTTGGGATGGCAATTCCTTGATGTCAATGACACCGGTAACCTCCCTCGGAGCAGGGATAGCTTCTCGGGAGACCGTAGCCTCAGATTTTCCCTCTGGCTCTTGGTCTAAAAAGGGTTCGGTCTGTCGGCCACTTCCTCCGGTTGCCGCATGTTCTTCCTCATCAATGGCTGGCCCATGGGCGACGAACTCTAGATCATCATCTTTAGGGTAATCCCTGAGCCGGTAGAGGGAGTTAGAGTCCGGTACCCTGGCTCGGGTACTCTTCTTGTTGGTTTTTTGGACCCGGACAATTACCGTCTTCTTCTTGGCTTCGGCGTCCGGGGAGCCAGAAGATTTCCTCTTTTTTCTCTTTTTCTCCTCCTGTGAAACAGCTCCAGGCTGTCCCGAAGTGGAGAGTTTATCAAGTGATGACGGAGCCTCGTCCTCGTCCAATGGCCGAAGCTCAGTGGTCTTGGGAAAACCTATAAAAGAAAAAAAACTTAGTGGAAATAACGGTTGAGTATGAAAGTAGACTTGTTCGGGAGGAGCACTTACCATGGGAACAGGCCTCCCACTTGCCCTTTGAGAGTTTGCGCCATTTGCGCTCAAAGTACGACAGTTGTTTGCAGATCCTCTCGACCCGCTCTTTAAAGCAAGGGAATGTGTTGGGAACTCGGGCAACTGCTGCACGATGGTAGAAGCAGGCAATAAGAAAAAAAGAACAAGAAATTCCAAGTACTCAGAAAGGGAAAGAAACTTATGGGCTGAGTTCCACTTTTCAGGGAACGACAAGAATTCGGAGGGAATGAGATCTTCAGTTTTTACCCAAACGAATATCCCTTGCCAGCCTCAATCCCGATCTTCATCGATGCTCAAAAACAGAGCTTTACTTGCCCGACAAATGAGCTTGATTAGCCCTCCTCGGAAAACTCGAGGACTATAGAGACGAAGCAGGTGGTCGATGGTGAATCGAGGTACTTCGGTGTTGTTTACAAAATGGAGGAGGAGGATTATGATTCTCCAAAAGGACGGGTGAATCTGCCCAAGGCAGACCTTGTACCTTTTGCAAAAGCTAAGGATTATGGGATCCACCGGGGCAAGTTTAAAGGGGTAAGTGTTACACTTAGATACCCCTCAACATGAGTAGTAATGTTCTCATCGGGACCAGGAACGACCACTTTTTTGCCCTCCCAATTACAATCCTCCCAAACTATAGGGAGTATATCCTCGGTAATGGAGCATATGTACCTCCATACACCCTCGCCTCGGTCCTGTTGACTGGAGGCTTTTTTGACCTTGAAATCGTTCTCAATGGAGCAGCCTCAGGGGATGAAGCTCTTCAGGGGAGGTTCCAGGGCCACCTTAGGTATGGGTCAACATCCGTGGCCGGGTTAGAAGTTGAAGGGACGGTCTTTTGAGGCACAGATTTCGAAGTCTTCGCCATCGAATTCTGGGAAATATGAAGATTTGAAGGCGTGGATGAAGATTTGAAGGTGAGGATGATGTTTTTTTAAGATAAAGATGAAGGTATGAAGGTCAGATTTGAAGATCTAAAGATGAAGTATGATGATTTGAAGATGGGGAGATGAAAATCTGATGATCTATGAAATAATGTATGAAGATTTGAAGGGTTTAAGAATAAGTAAAAAGTTTGAGGTTAAATTAAGGAGTGCTAGAATCGGAAAGTAAAAAAGTGAAAAAATGGACCGAAGCTTATAGATAGAAGGGGGACGGTCTGACACGTGTCCGAAGTCAGAACGACACGACTGATGGGATGTTTCACTGACCCGTCAACTCGGTTATAGTGCACGGAAGAAGGAACCGGGGTTAATTCATCTCTTCCCATCACTTCGATAAATTTGCTCTCCAAGAAGCGAGAGGACTATCTGTGTATGGGTAAAATTGGGGACAAAGTTTTCCCCGATGAGGAAACAAAATGGACGCGACTATAAGCGAGGCTGAAGGACCCCTCGTATTGGAACTCGGGAGGACTTAACGATGTATCTGGGATTGGGCACAGTGAAATAACGGACCAAGACCAAGTAAAGTTTCCAGACCACGGGAAACACGAAGAACGGTTATGCGTGACAATCAGGGAGCCGTAATATTCGCCCTCAACCGGATATTACGGTGCAAATCCTGCCCGATATCAATCACGGGTCGACATTCACCGAAAAAAGAAGATTTTTACCTTATTTAGGCTTATGTTATGACTAAAATTCCCCTAGTATATAAAGAAAAAAGTTTTTTTTATTTTAACACATTGTTGACACGCAAATCAAAGCAATAAAAGTTCTTTTTTGTCTTCTAGCTATTATTATTCAAAGTGTCCTTAGTTATTCTCTTTTCTTATTCGCATCTGAGCTTATATCGAGGGTCTGATTGAGGTTGAATTTCACTATTCATCCTAAGATTAGGCTTGATCAACGCATTTCAATTGGTTTGATCTTTCATTTTACCTTTAACTTAATTACTTGTTATTCTTAAATTATTCGTATTCAATTGAATCACATATATTTTAAACCGCATACAAATTTAATTGTTACCTATTTTTGGGGGTAAACAGGAATTCAAAGCTTTGAAACCTTATAACGGTTGTCAAGGTAGAGAGTCAAACACCTCAAGAATTTATTGATTGATAATTTTAATTCGAACATCAATTGTACAATACAAAAGAAAATTGCTAAGTTAAAACTTTATAGTAAAATGATTGAAATCCATTGATGAATTCCCTGGAAAAAAATGATAAAGTAGATGAGAAAAGAGAGAACAATAGAGATAATCGAAGGAAGAAAAATAGGGTTGGGGAAAGAACAAAGAGAGAGAGAGAGAGTCGAAGAGGGAATAACCGATATTTTCTATTTAATTCCTAATACAAATGGATACTTATTTAATACTAATTTGTATATAATTGGTAAATTGAATATCAATTTGTAATTAAGTTAAAACGTCAATAGTGATGATAAATAAGTTTCAAAAGTAGTGTTTTCAAGTAAAAAGCTCTTTATAAAAGACTACAAAATCAATTGAGTGGTCTCGCTGTATCTATGAACTCAATCTCACAAATGAGAAACGTCTTTGCGCTGTTCCACTATGTACTCCTTATATATCATTTTACATGGTTGTGTTTAACTGACCGTATTAGAACTTATGATCTTAAATATATTATGATATTTTTATATTATTAAGGATAAAGTAGTAAGTTTAAAGATAAAAAGTTTCTAAATATAAAAAGGTATCTTTCTTTTATGAACGAACTAAAAGAGAAAGAATCGTATAAAATAAAATAGATAAAGTGTTTAATTTCCTCTCGAGGATAGTCCGAATTCAAAACACATCCTTCTTAAAAAAAGAGGGAAAAAAAATAAGGAGAGGAAAGAGCTTTCATAGAATAAAGTACAGAAGTATGTACAGTGAAGAAATGGCTGAAAGAAGCAAAGACAAACTAAGCAAGCAGTCTGGTGGAATTAAGAAGCTATAAATAGACAGAAAAAGGCAAAGAGAGTGGCTATTTCAATTATTTTCAAGAATGCATGATCTAAGAAGCAAAAGTAGAGAGTTGTGAGTTGTGACTTAGTGGTAAGGGGGAAAGAAGGACAGTATTTCAAAGACATGAGAAGCACGTCGCAAAAGCAAAATGAGAATATTTTCCAGTTTGGTGATGCTTGGCACGTACTCCCGCGGTTTACCCTTAAAGAAATATTCAATTTTCAAATGGCATGGTCTTTGTATAAATAAGAACCAAATTTGTACTTCACCAACAGGCAATTCCTAACCATCAAAAAGCCATTCATAAACAAAAGAAGTAAATACTAAATTTTCATCTAATTCTTGATCGTAACCATGGCATCTCTTAATCCATGGGGAAAGCTCGACGAAATTCAGCATGATAGGCTCATGGCTCGTCGAAAGACAATGAAGAGAATCGCCATTATTGCCATATCCTCCATTGTTCTTGTGTCCATCATTATTGGTGCTGTGGTTGGTGGTGCTTCTCACAACAAAAACAAGGCTTCCCGAGATGACAATGGGTCGTCAATTGCCTCGAGCATTAAAGCAGTATGCAGTTTAACCCTGTATCCAGACTCTTGTATCTCCAGCCTTTCACCATATGCTGCAAAAGGCAATAATCTCAAACCTCAAGACATCTACAAGATGTCCGTCCTAGTCGCCCTCAACGAGCTCTCTGGTGCCTCGGACAAGTTCTTCCAGAGTGAGGCATTCAAGAACATTAATGATCCAGCAGCCGCCAAAGCTCTTGAGAGTTGCCACGAGCTTTTATCGCTTGCATTGGATCACCTGAATGACACATTGTCAGTTGCTGAGAACTCGTTATTCGATGGCTTTGATGATATAAGAACATGGTTGAGTTCTGCAGGGACATATCAGCAAACCTGCATTGATAGTTTTAAAAATGTCACTTCAATTGCCTTAAGCAAAGCTGCAGGGCAGAATTTGAAGAACTCTACCGAGTACACCAGCAACAGCTTAGCACTTGTAACCTCATTGGAACAATCCGTTTCAAGTTTAGGCGCCATTGGGAGGAGGCGTTTGATGGAATTTAGTGGCGGCGATGAGTACCCGAGCTGGTTATCCTCAAATGACAGGTGTTAAATTGTGTTACCATCTCATAAGCGCTAATTACTTAATTATATTATATCTCAACGGTACTTTCAATTACATAATTATACTATGCCTCGACAACAGGAAATTGCTTCAGAAATCAGCACCAAAGATAAAGGTGAATGCAGTGGTGGCTAAAGATGGTTCAGGGAAGTACAAGAGCATTAAGGCTGCACTCAAGGCTGCACCAGAGAAGAGCAAGAAGAGATATGTGATCTATGTGAAACAGGGTATTTACAAAGAGAATGTGAGAATTGAGAAGACTAAATGGAACATTATGATTATTGGTGATGGAAAAGATGCTACCATCGTTTCTGGTAACCGTAACTTCATTGATGGAACCCCTACATTCAAAAGTGCCACATTCGGTAAGTACCTCAATGCTCTAAAAAATTCTTTGGTACAAAACGTGATCATTCCTACCTAAGTTTTTTTGTTTATCAAGACAACATAACTTATTCCAAATTTCTCTTTCTGCGCTTGCTATTGAATAATTTCGCAAAATTGTCAACATTTCCTATAAGGATAATGGATCGGTGTCATCCAAGTTCAATAAATGCCTGATGGGCTGCTCTAATTTAACCACCACTTAAGAAAGGGAAAAAAAACGACAGTACACTGCTAATTAATCCACTTCTTGTTTAATTAATCTTTATTAAAAAACCTAATTAATGATAACCTATATATTTGGTATATATGAAATTTCATTATTGATGTGAAACAAAAAACTCAAAATTTCTTAATATTGTTGCGAATGGAATAATAATATAAATATGTATAAATTTAATTATTTAGAGCAGGATATTACTTTATTTTTCAGGTTTGTTATGAAAAAAATACATATTCTCTAGTAGATAAACTTAACATGATCAACATATATTCTGATTTGTTTGTGCAGCCGTGTTTGGTAAGGGATTCATGGCACGCGATATGGGATTTGTTAACACAGCTGGTGCAGCCAAGCATCAAGCAGTTGCCTTGATGTCAACCGCAGATGAATCCGTCTTCTACCGCTGCAAAATGGACGCCTTCCAAGACACGCTTTACTCTCATTCCAACAGACAATTCTACAGAGACTGCGATGTCTATGGAACAGTGGACTTCATTTTCGGAAACTCAGCCGTTGTCCTTCAGAACTGCAACATTTTTCCAAGAAAACCAATGACTGGCCAACAGAACACCATCACAGCTCAAGGCAAAGTTGATCCAAACCAAAACACTGGAATTTCTATCCAAAACTGTACCGTTAAGCCCTGGGGCAACCTTACTGGCATCAACACTTTCTTGGGAAGGCCATGGAAGAATTACTCAACAACTGTTTTCATGCAATCAAATTTGGGAGCTTTCATTCATCCAACTGGATGGATGCCATGGGTTGGAACCACTGCTCCAAATACTATCTTTTATGCTGAGTATAAGAATGTTGGACCTGGGGCTAATACCAACAACAGGGTCAATTGGAGAGGCTTGAAATTGAGACTTACAAGCAAAATTGTAAGCAAGTTTACAGTTAAGCCTTTCATTCAGGGAGACAAATGGCTTCCAGCAGCCGCCGTTCCATTTAAGGCTGGCCTTTAATACCTATGGAGAGTTCATAAACTGTATTTGACTCTTCTATTCTTTTTTTTATGCTTTCATTGGATTTTGTTGTGAAGTATATCTTCTGCTGATTTGCTCTTTTTGTCGGGCTTTTTTTACACAAGAGATATTTGTCAAATTGATTCAATTTTAAATGAGAATTTACAAAAATTCCAAATGGAATGATGAGGAATGAGCTTCTTGATCTTTAATCTTTCTGATCAATAATCTTTAGTCGACAAGGTTAGTTATATTCATTTTCCTTTAATCACCTCATTTTGAAGAGGTTTTCTCTTGCGACATTGTTATTATTTTTCTCGTTTCTTTCTTTTTACGGACCTATTCTTTTGCTTCTTTTCTGATATTATTGTCTCTTCTGTTGAGCCGAAAGTCTCTCGGAAACAGCCTCTCTACCCTTCCGGCTTACACTCTAACCTTCCTAGACCTCAGTAGTGGAATTTTATTGGGTGTGTTGTTGTTGTTGTTTGAAGAGGCTGTAACACTCTAACCTTCCTAGACCTCAGTAGTGGAATTTTATTGGGTGTGTTGTTGTTGTTGTTTGAAGAGGCTGTAACACTCTAACCTTCCTAGACCTCAGTAGTGGAATTTTATTGGGTGTGTTGTTGTTGTTGTTTGAAGAGGCTGTAACACTCTAACCTTCCTAGACCTCAGTAGTGGAATTTTATTGGGTGTGTTGTTGTTGTTGTTTGAAGAGGCTGTCTGATATCTAGTAGAAAAGTTTATACGTACAACTTTTTATACAAGAGAAAAAAACTGAGTTCACTTTGGTAACTCTGATTTAGCAAATATTGAGATACATTTTTTTTAATAAATTAAATTTTATATCTTGGTTGCATCTGTTTGAATTTTTCGAAGTTTTGCAAAAAGTGTGTTTCGTACACAACTAGAAATTAGGGAAAAACCGATCAAGCCTTACCGACCAATGTTGGTCGGTCAAAAAAAGCGACCAAAAACCGTCCAACACGGACGGAAACAACAAAAAAAATATTTTACATTTTTTTTAAATTAAATACCGACCAAAGTTGGTCGGTATAATGGTCAAAAAGTTAACCGAAGTGGTCAGACTTACTTAATTAAAGCAACTTTTTGATTACCGGTAATGTGGACCCAATTTTTTAAATTTTAATAATTATATTATTATTTAAAATATTTTATAAAGTTTAAAGAATTTATATTTAAGATTACCGACCAAAGTTGGTCGGTATAATGGTCAAAAAGTTAACCGAAGTGGTCAGACTTACTTAATTAAAGCAACTTTTTGATTACCGGTAATGTGGACCCAATTTTTTAAATTTTAATAATTATATTATTATTTAAAATATTTTATAAAGTTTAAAGAATTTATATTTAAGATTACCGACCAAAGTTGGTTGGTTATTGCAGGGGAAGCATTTACCGGCCAACTTTGGACGGTATATTTTATTTCCTAGAAAATAACCGATCAAAGTTGGTCGATTATTAGGTCAAACATGGTCAAACTTTTGAATCACTTTAATATTTACTATCTAAATAATATAAATATAATCCGTTAATACTTTATATTGTAATACAAATAATGAATACACTAACATATAGTATAACAAGCTATATATAGTTAAAGTAGTACAACGAAGTGTGTGTGTGTGTGTGTATATATATATATATGTAGGTATAGCCGTATATATATAAGAACACGAAGCGCTAGGACCGCAGGGTCGGGTTCTTTTGGGGATAGACTTGTGAAGAAGCAATAATCTAATTAGTATATATAATTGATCATCATCAAATATATCTATTTGTAAATTGATCCATCGACTTATAACTTACTTAGATGCATCGATGAATATTAAAAATAAAACGTTTCCACCTATATCGATGAATATTAAAAATAAACCGTCTCGACCTATATCGATTAATCTATATCATGCATTATTAGTGATGAATTAATGAAATATAGAAGAATTAATACTAAACATCTTTGACATGTATATATATATATGGATTACAAATTAAAAAAATGAAAGAAGTTAATAACATTAAGTAAACGAGTTAATAGGTCAAACATGGTCAAACTTTTAATTTGAATCACATTAATATTTACTATATAAATAATATAAATATAATCCGTTAATACTTTATTTTGTAATACAAATAATGAATACACTATGTAACAACCCGACCAGTTATTTTGAGAGTTATAGCCCCGTTTTTCCCATTTCTGTTTCCTTTTGTGCATTTCAGCTATATTATGATATATCAGGTTAGTTGGTTCGGGTCCGGAGTGGTTTTGAAGTGAATTGAGACATTTAGTCTCTAAAGTAGAAGCTTAAGTTGGAAACGTCAACCGGATGTTGACTTATATGTAAACGACCTCGGATTTAATTTTTTATGGTTCCCTTAGCTCCGTTAGGTGATTTTGGACTTAGAAGCGCATTCGGAATGAGATTTGGAGGCCCGTGGTAGAATTAGGCTTGAATTGGCGAAAGTTAGAATTTTGGCGATTTTGGTCGGTAGTGAAAATTTTGATATCGGGGTCGGAATGGAATTTCAAAAGATAAAATTGGTTCGTGGTGTTATTTTTGACTTGTGTGTAAAATTTGAGGTCATTGGGACGTGGTTTAGCAGGTTTCAGCATCGTTGGTGGAATTCGGAAGTTTAGAAATCCTTAGGCTTGAATCCGAGTGTAATTTGGTATTTTGATGTTGTTTTGAGTGATTTGATGATTTGTCTAAGTTCCTATGAGGTTGTGCGATATGTTGGTATGTATGGTTGAGTTCACGAGGGCCTCGGGGTGATTCCGGGTGATCAACAGAGCAAGTTTGGAAATTGGAGGAATTGCTGAAGTTGAACTCAACTGTCATAATCGCAGCTGCGGATGTCTCATCGCAGGTGAGCGAGCAGGAGATCGCAGATGCGAGATTGGAGGAGCTTGGCAGAAGGCGTAGGTGCAAGAAGGCTGTCGCATCTGCGAGCCCGCAGGTGCGAGACTTGGGGCGCAGATGAGGAGATGAGGAATTTGGCTGGCATCGCAGAAGCGGAGGGAGATGCGCAGGTGCGCTTTCGTAGGTGCAAGATTTGGCCGCGGATGAGGAACCTGGGATCTTAAGTGAGTTCCGCACCTGCGATGGAAATTCCGCAGGTGCGGCGTCGCAGAAGCAAAAAAAGGGGACGCAGGTACGGTTTCACTGGGCAGAATATATAAATTGAGGACTTTATGATTTTTGCTCATTTCCACCATTTTTAACTCGGATTTTGGAGCTTTTGGGGTGATTTTTGAAGGGGATTCAAGGGTTTTCACAGAGGTAAGTTGCTTGAGCTCTAATACTCCTAGCTATGGTGCTTTTCCGTTGATTTCTCATCTAATTAGTGGGGTTTTGAAGTGAAAATTGGGGGTTAGGGCTTGGGATTTTGGAGAGTGTAATTTGAGGATTTGAGGGACCAAATGATGTCGGATTTTGATCAATTTTGTATGGTTAGACTCGTGAGTGAATGTGCTTTCGGGTTTTGTGACTTTTGTCGGATTTCGAGACGTGGGTCCGGGGGTCGGATTTCGAGACGTGGGTCCGGGGGTCGGATTTGAGTCGATTTCGGGTTTTGAGTCTAATTTAGTAGTTTTTTTTTGGAATTGATTCTTTTAGCATATATTAATGGTATTGTACTGCTTATGGCTAGATTCGGGATGCTCGGAGGCCGATTCGAGAGGCAAGGGCATTGCAGAGTAGAGATTTGCTCGGATTGAGGTAAGTAACGGTTGTAAATCTAGTCCTGAGGGTATGAAACCTCGGATTTTTTGTGTCATGTGACTATTTGGAGGTAACACACATGCTAGGTGATGAGTATGTGGGCGTGCACCATTAGAAATTTGTGACTTGGTCCATCCCATAGCAACTGTAAAGTTGAACAACGTGTTGTAGCTATATGCTCTTTATGTGATTTAGAAAGATTTACTATAAATCATGCTAGATACCATGTCTAGGCCTTATGCCAGTATTGTTTGGACCCTTAGAGGTCGTTTCTTGCTGTCCTCTCACTGCTTTAGTTGATATCCCGTACTCAGTCATGTTCATGCATTCTTACATCATAGCTCAGTCTCTGTTATTCTACTTGTTGCATCATGTTAATATTGTTTGGGTTGATTTCTTTGATTTCTGAGAGCTCGAGAGATTGGAAAGGTTTATGACTGAGTGAGGCCGATGGCCTGTTTGTGAGGTATTGTACCTTAGCACGTGAGTTGTCCGTGCGGATTCTGATATGATATTATAGCACGTGAGTTGTCCGCGCAGCACGTGAGTTGTCCGTGCAGATTATAGCGCTTGGGCTGTAGGAGACCCTTAGGAGTCTGAACACCCCCAGTGAGCGCAGGTACCTACTGAGTGCAAGTGCCGAGTGCTGAGCGATTGTGAGGCATGAGTGATTGGGATGCTTGAGTGATTGTGAGGCTTGAGTAATTATGAGGTTGGAGTGATTGGGAGGACTAAGTGATGTTAGCCTGAGAGGCAGTACATGATTTCATCATCCATGCTCATAGTTGCTTTGAGTCCTTGTTTGAGAACTGTTGAAAGATATTTCTGATTGTCTTATTTGAACTTGATTTAAACAAACTGATTTGACTTAAACTCTGCTTGCATAGCATGCCGCACTTTATTAATTTTTTGTGATATGAACGGTACTTGCATTTAGCTCGTCACTACTTCTCAACCTTTATTTATTTCTGTTACTTACTGAGTTGGTGTACTCATGTTACTCCCTGCACCTTGTGTGCAGATCCAGGCATTTTTTTTCATGGTAGCAGCTGCTGATATTCCTGTAACTGATCATTGGAGTTAGCAAGGTAGCTATCTGGCGATCGCAACCCTGTTTTCTCCTTCTTTATCTCCCCCTTAGTTGTATTTTGAATTTTTCCCGGACTATGTTAGTCTTATTGTTGTCGATCAAGTTTTTAGTGGTTGCTCATGACTCAGTGACACCCCGATGTTTGGAGCTTTTTTTCATTCCGCATTTCTATTTTTGAGTTCAACCCTTGTTTCTTTTATGAAATTCTGCTCTACAAGATGCCTTTTGGCATATCTTTGAATGAATTGTTGTAGTATTGTGGGAGTCGGCTGGCCTAGTACCATCGATAGGTGCCATCACGCCAGGTTTGAGTCTAGGGTCGTGACATACTAACATATACTATAACATGCTATATATATAGTGAAAGTAGTA